TATATATTGAAGACATGTGAAGTCGGCCAACATTTAAATTTCATTTTTTAGTAAAGCTATTAGTGGAAACGATGGAATGAGGGATCCGATAATAACATAAAACTTTTTTGTAACTCCATTTAGCATTTTGGGATATTATAATCAAATCAATCTTAATTTAATTGGGGTACTATAATCAATCAATCCAGAAATTGCCATTGCCAATGTAAAATAAGGCTGTATGTGCATGAACTCCTTTACCTTAATAGAACGTTACTAACGTCACTGTCAGCTGTCAGCAATGTTATTGTCAATTAGGGATGCTCGATGTTGCAGAAACACCGATGATGACATCGATGTTGATATCGATAGCTTATCATCGATGTTCGTTGTTTATCCTACTTAAAACATCGATGTTGGCCATTATTGATGTTATTGCACATGTACCTAATTAGTAGGTTAAAATTAGACGAACAAAAAATTAATAGTGTAGTTTATAGTTTATTATTAATGAAATAAAAGAAATTTATAAAACATTTAGTGCTAAATAGTAATTTAAAAAATGGGCAAAACTTAACAAATGTTTAGTTCATTTGTTATATTTTTTGCCGATAATGATAAATGTTATTATTTTGATCTTCAAATGTTCCTATACAACCAAAAATCTACGAAAAAATTTACTATGAGACCTAATTTACGATTTAGACGTAGGTTCTATATTAACCACTCCTATCGCGAAATAAAAAAATATGATTATAGAGGGCGAATTAGCAAACTTCACAAAAACAAAATATTAGACTTTTCCGTCACCTTTGTTCACTATTTTTTCTCAGACAGCCCAAACAGTAAGTATCCACAGCCGTTTATAAAATGCACTGTAAAATGCACTATGCAGTGAAATTTTCTATGCTCACAATCGCCCAGTGATTTATTTTCATAAACTTCAAGCAAACAATAAACTCATTAGCTCAAAAATCAGCTAAATATAATTAAATTGTGTATATTCATATTGTTTCAAAATTATGTGTGTATAGACAGCAAGAGAAAAAACATTATTTGTATATCAATTTATGTAGAATAGTTACTAGGCGACAATGATACCACAGAACAAAAAAGCGAAATCATTGACAACTGTGACATTATGGTTCAAACTTGAGAGGGAGTTTGACACAACATAATGATATTTTTCAGGTGATTGATGCATTTAAGAATCCTAAATTGTTCAAAATTTTAAACCTTTAATAGGAGATGAAATATTTAGTTGATATTGATTTCGCGGGTTCGGATTTTTCACAAGTTTTTATTAATCAATTATTGGCTCATTGACATTGATGTTTCGATGTTTGAGATGTGTTATAATCGATTTTACGATGTTTAGCATGTGGCAACATCGATGTTAAAACATCGATGTTCTAATTTCTAACATCGATGATCATCGAACATCGATGATCATCGAACATCCCTATTGTCAATGTCATTGGTTGGTATTTTGATTCTGAAATTCTAATTTTTCATTTCTAGATTCTAGTGCCAAATTGTTCAAAATTCAACTACAGTACAGTACTGTGTAAAGTTTGATTCATTGTATTATTATTTATATTTTGAATGTTTGTAAATATAGGGGTTGAAATGCAAATACATAAAAATTACTTCAAAATTATTTTGTTACCTAAATTACACAAGCGACAAACACGTTTCTATTATTTATCAATTAGCTTTATTTATGTAAGCAGATTGATAAATAATGGAATTAATGAATTCAAAAAAATGAGGGAATTATTTAATATTACATAATTTTGGCGGTATGTATACCTACAATATTTAAAAAAATAAAATGTTTGGATTTGTTTTTCAGTAATAATTAAATGTTTTGCATTGAATTACGCAAAGAATTACTAATATTTGCGTATCTGAATCGTTTTATTAGCAAAAATTAAAACTAAGGCAAATTGGTACAAGAAATCTAAGTTTTGTTTGAACAAGGTCATGGTTGGCCACAATAACTTAGGTACATTATTGTATATTTTGAACATTTAATGTAGCAATGAACAATGTTGCTGAAACATTGATGATGTCATCGATATTGGCATTGATAGCTGAACATCAATGTTCGATGTTTATCCTACTCAAAACATAAATGTTGAACATTATCAATGATTTTTGCACATGTATTCAATAGGATTGAATTAGATATAAAAAATAGACATATTGTTAATGGTTTATTATTTATGAAATGAACAGAATTAATAAACAATGTCTGTACTTAGTTTAAAACAGTAATTAAAAAAATTGGAAGAAGTTAACAAATTTAATATCTAGTTCATTTGTTATACAGTGCAATATTTTTTGCTATAGATTAAAGAGGTAGTAATTTTTTCAAAGAAGTATCTTTCTTTCTGTTTCTCTGTTGATAAAGAATTGAGCCACCTGTTGAAATGACCTTCCAATAATTGATTATGGGTTCATTGACATCGATGTTTCGATGCTTGAAATGTGGCAACAACTAACCGGAAGAGTTCAACTACATAGTTTAGAGATGTGTTAATTATAATATTAAATAGGTTTGCTTGACTATGTAAGATCTATACTCATATAAATACCAACAAATCCTACTGTTTTGTGTGGTGAGTAAAGAAAACTGGAGACCATTTCTACTGATTGACAAAGCATTCAATCATGGTCCTTAAAGATGATAATGTATCTTTAATCTGAATTCACATTCTTTCTAAAAAAGCGAAAAAGTTACATACTCCTCGTCATTTCTGTATAGGATAAGCCATTGCATGACTGTAGATTTTAAACCTATATATAAAATTGTGGCTTAGACCTGTGTACTTTAATAAAGACAGCAAAGGACATTGTGCATTAATAATAATGTAGTTTTAAATAGCAAAAGAAATTATAATTTTAGACCTCTTAAAGGTTCTCTGGGTTTGATATATATATTAATAGTAACAACAACTGTTGGTTTAATACTGAATTTATTAAGCGTAAGCTTCAAATATACTAATAAAAATGGTTCTGGTGCAGTGCTAAGTATGTGAGTACATAAGACAAAGTTTATCGAGGAATAAGGCCCCAACTTTAGAAGCTATTAATTATAAATTTAATTATATTATTTACTTCTATTACTTCATACTTCTTTTTACTACTGTTACTTTATATTATATTTAAATATTAACATTGACATACAGTTTCATAGTCACCTGGAAGAGAAGGCCAAATTGGCCTCTTAAAAGCTAGGTGTGCTCAGACTGGGACAGTATTTCATGCCAGCACACCGCTTGCAACTTTAAAAGACGCAGGTTCGGCTGCACATGGAATACTGTTTCCATCTCTGGGCTGGGGCACCCCAGTGCCAGCTCCTTCCATTTGACCGCATCTAGTGCAGAGCTGTTCGAATCGTCAGTAACCAAGCTCTCTGTTGCATCTCTTTGCGTATTTTATCGCATTTACCACGAGGAGTGTTCTGAGGAATTGTTTGGACTAATTCCAGTGACACAATTTTACCATCGCATCGTAAATAAAAAAAATCGTCATCGCTACAAAACTCGCGATACCATCCATAACATCTGAATAACTGGTGCTCCACCACTGTGAGATTTAAAAGAAGTTTTCTTCCTCGCACAACTTCCTTGTGGAATCGACTACCACCAGAGATTTTTCCGGACCGATACGACTTAGGGACCTTCAAGAAAAGAGCCTACTCCTTTTTAAAAAGCCAGCAAACATAGTAATTCCCCTGGTGTTGCAGTTGTTCATGGGTGGTGGTAATCACTAGAGAAGGTACTTTTACGGATTTTATCGCGTTTATTTTACTTTTAATTACTTTTATTTTTAATTCCCGACATTTCGACGTCAATTATCTCAGTCCCCGTGACCAAGGGTGCTGAAAAGCGCCTGAAACGTCGGGAATTAAAAATAAAAGTATTAAAAGTAAAATAAACGCGATAAAATCCGTAAAAGTAGTTTTAATCAACACTAGAGAAGGGTCGAATATTCGTTTTATATACGGTATTCGGCATATTCGGCAGGTTTACCGAATATTCGTATTCAGTCTAATATTTGGCTAAATCACCGAATATTTGTTAAAGTGTTACTCAAAGTATCCACTGTATGGAAATGTATGAATTGAGTAATGCCATGTCTTTCATCATTTTACTGTTGAAAGTATATTTATTTATGGGTTAAATCTACTTGTATAACGGTATGTTTTTGAGGCACTGTAGATTTATTTCAAATTATAGCAAATAGAAAGCTTGATAAAATTTTGTTTGGAATCAAACAAAGAAACATTACATTACAGTCGTTAGTTTCTCTAAAATTGGTCCAAATAGTAGATCTCCTGCCACTCATTTGCATTACATACTTATCTATTTACAAAAATACTTTTTTTCTCACAAAAATATTCAAAACATAAGCATATGCCGGCAATTTGCTCAGTACTAGATGATGCAATAACTGTCAGGTGTGGCGGGGGAGTAAGGGGAAGGCTCTGGCGGTAATCCCGCACGCGTTATCGTAACAAGTTTCGACATAAATTGGTTAGGTACCTCGGTAATCCTGCCGAATATTTGGTTCAGTAAAAATTTTACCGAACGTTCGGCTGAATATTCGTATTTGGTGAAATCCATATTCGGCCCATCCCTAGTAATCACTTACCATCAGGTGAGCCATATGCTTGTTTGCTCCTCTCCTATTAAAAAAAGAAATTTTACACTATATGCAAGTGCAAGTGATAATTATTAAGAATTCAAATTCAAAGAAATCAATGCACCGACGCAGGCACTATATTCTTCCTGATCACTGCGCCAGCACCTTGTCCTCTTCCTTGAATTGATGTTCTGTACAGCGTATATGGACATTTCAGAGATGTATTTAAGCTGTACCTTTTGGATCTTGCCGTGCAATACTGATGTTTAGAAACATTGTGCGATTACTGCACCCTTACTTGAGAAGCACAAAAAATGGGGCTGGTAGTGTACATATCAAAATGCTAATGGCTTTCACTCTACTTTCAGGTCTCAACATGACTATAAATAGTCACAGTAGTGGGAGCACACTGGGACCGCGATATTCACCTGTGGAGCAGAGATTGAGTGTACTGAATGCATTGCCACATCCAGGGCTCGCTCATCCGACACACCCATCTCTAGCAAGTCCAAGAAATGAACCTATTGCTGGCCCTTCTGGCTTACCACCAGTACAACAGGTGCCGTTAGTAAGTATAACTTAAACTTAATTCTACCTCCATAAATTCTAAATGATTAGTCACCATTTTTCTTTAAAAAATGTAGGCTTAGATTGTGGTTTAAGCTAATTACTTAGAACTGAAACATCTTATGGATGCCATAAGTGATCCAGTTTACCATCAAGTTTGCAGTGCACTTGAAGCGGTGACCAGTTTGCAGTGCAGTACATGTAGACCTCTCACATTCAAGTTCACCTTCAAGTTTGCATGATGCCACACCAGTTGAAACCATGTAGTCTCACTTATTACACTGACTAACGTCATGCATATTTGTTACACACACACAGTAAAATTTTTATGACGCTGCAAGTTTGATTCGGTCGGCAGAATCGAAATTCAATTTTTGCTTTAATTAAACTTGTCACGCACTTTTATAGCCATACAAGTTCACTGAACGCCGCTTCAAGCACGCTGCAAACTTGACGGTAAACTGGATAGTGTGCATCCAATATACTCTTTCGTTTTATATGATGCATTACTTACTGTAATTGTATTTTTTTACATTGCCATCAACTTATACTACCTACTACTTATTTAATTTCATATCACAATATTATTTTAGTTATTGTTTTGATAGAAAAGCTTATTAAATAAAAATTACAATTCAGAAGAGAACCACAAGAGTAATTAATAACCTAGGTCCAAAGGAATCCTTTAGAGAAAATTTTCAATAAATAAATATAGAAATATTAACTTTAGCAGCTCAGTATATTTACAAAAATTTTATGGAAAATCACAAAAACAAAAAGTGTTTTATTTAATAATAGTGATGTACTTCCTGTAAGTACTAGGAACAAGCACAGTTTAGTTTTACCAGTTATTCGGTTCCAAAGAGTCAGTAATTCATTCATGTGGCAATGCATATAAAGACCCCTTTTACTGGAAGAATGAGGCGTTCCCTCTTAGTTGTCAGAAGTGAACAACGCATCTGCATTTTCATTGAGAGTAGTTGTAGATGTCTATGGGCCACATCATACAGCTACCATGTAGACTATGTGCTCGTACGTCACCTTTATTCTACAAAAAAATTATAGATCTGTTTCAATCTATATTGAACTTCCATAGATATATATTCCATTGCTTATCTAACTAGAAGATGTAAAGCTGAAGTAGTAACGTCATTTTCTTCTCTTTTACTTTTCAAATATTTTTTTTCTATTACAGTCTCTGAAAAAAGAAATAGATTGGGAAAGGAGTAATGAAGATAAAGTTGGTGAACCATCAGCTGAATTCCGGATGCAACATGAAACAGTATGTATTACTGCTGCTCTTTTATAGGCATATTTATGTAGTAGAAGTGTAAATTATTATTAGTTTTGCTGTATGAAAAATTATTTCTTATGATTTATCATTTTACATTATTATTTTTACGTGGTAGAGCCATGCTGCAGGTATATTGTGGTTGCAGCACGAATGGGTCAGCTAAACCGGGTAGGACCATGCTATGCTATATGCTCACAGAATACCAGCATAAAATTGCCGCTTAATGCTGCTGTGTTTCGTATGGTGACTGTAGAGAACCGGAGACTCTTTATTCATTACATTTTGATTCTTAATTGAAGATAAATGTAGATGTCTACGGGCCACAGCATCTACTTACCAACAGGTGGACTGTGTGCTTGTTTGTTGAGAGAGAAATGCATTATTCTATCAAAAAAATCATAAATTTATTTTAAAAGTAAAATATGGTTGGTATTTTATAATAATTTAGTTATAGTAATTTATAATTTTTTATTTGCTTTAAATGAATTAATAAAAATGTAACCATTTTATAGTAACTATTACAATCTTTATTGTTTTATAACATTATAATGTTGTATTATATTTGTGTCTGATAAAATTTACTTGTAATTTTTTTTTAATTATTGTGATTACTTAAATTAATAATTTTTTATTACTTTGTGCATATTGCATGTTGTAAAATTTTTGCTAAATACAATATAAGAAATAACTTAGGTTTGGTTGCATGTTTGTTTATTTGTGCTATAACATCAAATGTAATTACGCCCTAATATGCCAATAAAAGCAACATATGATGAATGTAGCTAGATTTCCTTTATTGCAAGACATACACTAATAAAAATTTATTTTTTGAATACCACTGTAATATAGCAGCTTGATTCTGCTGACTGCTGTGTTTCGTATGATGAGTGTAGAGAACCGAAGACCCTTTTTACTGGAAACGAGACATTGATAAATGTAGATGTCTACGGGCCACAGCATCCCTTAGCCGTCAGATGGACTGTGTGCTCTTTTGTCACCCATATTCAATAAAAAAAATATTACTGAATCATTTCATACAATTCGTCCAAATCAAGCTTTAAAAAAAGCTTTAATTACATAAATAATAAATACTTAACTTGTTATTTAGTATGTAACTAATAAAGTTTTCATAAATTAGAAGTTTCCCAGTTATTGCATCTATCTTATCTTAACTGTATGAAAAAATTAACTTATCAGTGATTATAATTTCACTGTTATTAAAACCATGAAGCTTGTTTTTTTTCATATCTTGTAGGTTGTGGTTCACTAACGCGCTTTTTTAATTTATTTGCATTTAGTCAAAAACAGGATTTGCATTTAGTCAACAACTCTTAATAACAGGATCATATTGCAAAGGATTTTTATAAGAAATATGTGTTTGCTCGCTGTATGTGAAAAAAAAAACTTCTTAATTCTTTTGATTTGATATAATGCATGCTTGTTTGATGTGCTACGCTATTTTAAAGATCGAGTACTGTGCCTTGCTGTCAAGAAGTTGACCTTCATTTTGTTGGCCATCATTTTTTATATTCATTCATTTTGTTTGATATATATTATGGGCAGTTTTTTTATTTAAATTTTGGCCATTCCTGCATACGTATCTGTACGAATCGGTGATTCAGTACGCGCGCGCGTTGCTAAACAACAAGGCATTACGCGTAGCCGGATCCCGGGTCACTCCTGCACAGATTTTGGGCAAAAATGAGCGTCAACTTCTTACTTAGATAGTGACACTAAGAATATACAGAGACTGCATCTCAATTTAGAAAGTAGTGGTAGAGACATTGCACACACTTTGGTCCGCTCACGAATCGAACCAGAGAAAAAGAAGTTGATGTTCTTTTTGTGGTTGCAGGAGTACGAAGGGTCCGGTAGGGGACGAATAGAGGAAGGGGATAGAGGTTATCCTTGCATACACTGTGGCGCGGCGTTTCCTCACCAGAACAAATTGGCAAGGCACATATTGACGACACATACACTTGAATCACTGAAGTATCGTGACGCCATATTGGGAAGGCCTATGGGTCTTCCAATGATTGGTCAGTTTAGTGAGCCAACATATATGAGTATGCCTACAGAAGAGACGCCTATAGACATTGATATTGGTCCTATGGAGCCAGGAAATGTGGTGCTTTGCAAGTTCTGTGGCAAGAGTTTTCCAGACGTGTCATCATTGATTGCACATTTACCAGTACACACTGGTGATAGACCATTTAAATGTGAATTTTGTGGGAAAGCATTTAAATTAAGACATCATATGAAAGATCATTGTAGAGTTCACACAGGTAAGTTACACTTATTTTATTTCTTTTTCTTTATGTAAGTCTTCATAGTTAATTTATGGTCTATTCAATTGGATTTTAGGCGAGCGGCCATTTCGTTGTGTTTTATGCGGCAAGACGTTTTCCCGATCGACCATTCTTAAGGCGCATGAGAAGACACATTATCCGAAGTACGCTCGAAAATTCCTGTCGCCGAGTCCCGTCGATACGGAGGAAGAGAGCCCTCATCAATGAGTTTGGAATGGCTATAGTGCACAAATATTTGGCGACATGTTAGCCAATAACATTAGTTATTATTGGAAATAGTCATCGGTGAGAGTTTTGAACAAATGATGGACAATATGTTGTAATTAGTTAAGAATGTGATTAAAACGCCGCAACTGTGATCTGAATGATATGGATAATATTTGATATTTCACTGATAGATAATTGACACACAATGTTGTTAATCCTTCATTTTAGTTGAAGTTATTTTTTCTTTCTCTCTCTCTCTCTGCTTATTTTTTTTCGATACCTTAAATATTAGGTGCTTACTTTACGCTTTAGATAATAATTTTAAATACGATGAATAATGAGTACCTTAGATGGCATAGCCAAAGTTAGTTAGAGAAGTAAATTTACTTTTAAAAAGAATTACTGAAATTTGCTTATTTTGTTTCAATCTTATTACGAATTTACTCACTTGAGTGCAGTCAAAGTTAAAAATATGTAATTGTTAGGTTGCATAACAATAATAATGCAATGAAATAGGCTTTTCAAATTTAATTGTAAAATATTGTATTAATTTAGTAACGACATAATCTTTAGAGACTTGCATATTTATATTAGTGATTCCCTCACAAATGATTTTATAAACCAAAATTAAGATTGATAGTGAGTGCTTTTATTATTATTAGAGACTATGAAAATTGCACTCAGTATAGTTGGTATCGTTAACGTTTAGGGATTTGAGGTTTTTACTAACTTACGTATTTCGAAGTTAACGACGCACGTTCCCCTGACGTAACTCAAAAGCAATATTACGACATATAAATGTAAATACATATAGTTTGGTACATAATATCAGTTTTAGGAAATTTATTAGAATATTACTGCTTCAGTAGGTCTTTATTTGGATACATGGAGAGGGTCGTGGATGTGTGATCATGGGAATCAAAGCTTTAAGCACAGTTTCAGTTCTGTTTATTCAGTATGCCTTTCCTTTTCTGTATAGTTAAATATCTGGTAACCTTTTTAATGATTACATCCATATATAAATTACATATGTATTTATTGAACTGAAAATCGAAAGGCATAGGTAGTATTAGCGAGCTGTTGAAAATTACTTTTCTATTTGATACAGAATAACCACATTCTCTTGTTATTCTTGTAGTAAGTTTCAAATGCTAAATCTATATCCATATTCACACATAATTATTTTGTAATATATGCATACAATTATACACACATATATCCACAATAACATAGTTCTTTACAATTAAATGTAAGCATTTGAAATTTCACAATTATTGTGTTCAATAAATAAAACAGAGTTAAATACAGGGATATTGTACGAATGTTAATTTATCTAGACAACACAATGTTTATTTAAATAATAATGCAGAATTATTATTTCTGTATACATCACAACTGATATTAGTAACTGAAGCTTTGATTAGATGATGATTGGTGGGATGATGTAATAGCTGAAACATTTTTGATGAAACTGGACATGAGCTGAGAACTTAACGTACATGTGTAAGGCCTGAGTAGAGAGCGTGCATAAAACTCGAGCGGCCACCACTCAGGTCACTGTTAGACGCGTGTGCTCGTCATGCACGATGTAGACGCAGGTTTACTCCCGAAATAAATTGCGAATTCCATTCAAACTGACGTTGTTTCGAGTTTAAGAATTACTCACGAACCAATTTGAATCGGGAAACACAGTTGAGTAACGACCGAACGTTATCAGCGCCTTTAGACACATTCGGTTATTTATTATTTTGAGAATCTTGTCTAATAAATTAAATATTCACTTCTCAAATATTTTATTACATACAAAACAAACTTATCATTAAAAGCATTCTTGTCTTTTGCGATTATGAGCACCACTTGGCGGCGGACAGTTGGAAGACTTCCGCTATGATAATTCCAATTTGAACCATCATTCGATTGTGCGCTAGCTGTGGTTTCGGGAGTACGAAATTACCTTTGAGTTCGAATACAACACGATTGATTCAGAACTCAATTCTGTCGGGAGTAATCCGGCTGTTTCTACACTATGTTGACCAAGCTGAATGAATTTCGTGACGTCATTCATGTCTGTATCAAATGTCCCATATAAATGAGAAGGAATTCGGGCGGCATTCGCCTTTTGATTTTTAACAGTTAGTAAAGAACATGATTTGATAAAACTTTAATACAAAACGAATGAAATTTTTGTGTGCTTTGCTTAGTGAAAGCAAAAAAAGTATTTTCTTTGAATTGCTAAGGTAACTCTGACTTAAGCACATATTAAATCATTTTTTAAATTATTGTGTAGTTGGAAGTATAAATGATTTTTACTAGTCTATAAACTTACCTGATCTTTTCATAATCTTTAGAGGACCTTATTACATATCATTTGAAGATTTCATAGTGTTGTAAACTTATTTTGAAAGGAGTATTGGATAAAAATTTCCCTGGAAGTCTGCAAGAAAATTGCAGTGAAATTGATGACTTGAAGTTTTTTGTATTTTTAGAAAATATTGTTTTTTTGTAGGTGTAATAATATCATTCGGAAGTATTATGGTAATTTAGAAAAGATCTGTGATATTTTTTAAAAAGTAAGTGCTAAATCTGGGCGATAAACAAAACCTCGATCTCAGATTGTGATTTCAGACTAGGAATATTTGAGCGACCGGTTTCGCTACTTGTTGATTAAATTATGTACGTCATAAAAGTACCTAAGTTTAGGCGCTGCTATTATTGATAACGTAATTATTACAGAAATAATTATAGTCAACCAAATCTAAGAAATACATTTTGACAGCTGTCAGACTTATTGCAAAAAGTATGCCAACTAAAGAATTGGGAACGTACAATATTCGATTCTTAAAAAAATCGATATCGATTATTTAGAGTTGGTAATCATTTACAGTTTCGTTTGAATAATACCAGAATAAATTAAAAACAGATAATTTAAAACACAAGATTTATCAATTTCTTCGAATTTGTTGTTACTGCTTATTTCTAGAGGCACAGTTATAATTTTTTTTAATTGAAACTAGATTAAAAATAAATTTATTCAATCACTTTCAGTACAACTAGTTGAGCTGTCTTTGTTTAGATTAATTAGTATTTGAATTTTAATAATGTAGTCAAAATTGCTGTCTCCTTCAAAGTCATCCATGATCAATATTTTTGTTTTTTCTACCACTTTTACCCAATCATCCTTTGTGACATGGGCATATGCTTCAACGAATATAAAAGAATCATTTCAAAAAGTTAAAGCAGAGTCACGAAATAAAAAGACAAACAAAATCACAAAATTACTCACAGTAAGCTCCCGAAATGGCGGGAGATCTAAATTACGTAGTGGTTTTTTTTCAGCGCGGTCTTGTATATGAATTTTTTTGCCTACACAAATTTAAGTTGACAAAATAAACTTTTTTTCATGAAATTTAAGGAATTTTAAAAATAAAAATTTAATTAAACAAATAATACATTAAAAAAATTAATGATTCGATTATTTGAATATTACTACCGATTAATTGAAAATTTTTGTCGATTATTCGCATAACAACTAATTTTAATCATCCGAACACTACGGTAAAGTACATAGCGACATTCATTAATTCACATCAAGAAAAAAAGTTGATACTGGTTATTTTTTTTAATATATTGATTTGTTTAAAAGATTCGAAGTTAAATTAGTGATAAAAAACTGTACACATTGTAATGAAATATAGATAACTTCATAATTCTTCGGATTTACGTAAAAGGTATTTCTTAGATTTGGTTGACTATAGTCATTTAAACATTGGTCATTTGAATTCGAAATTTGAATGGTTGATGTTTCAGGATTTATAAAAAAAATATTATATTATAAGTAAAAAAGTAGATAAGCTAAGTGCGAAAAACAGATCTCATTCTTTTAAGATTTAGACTAAGGCACGGCAGAGAATTCCTGCTGCGCCTTATTTGATGATAGTAACTTTGTTTTGTTCTATAAACAGCTGAATCGATAAACAATAATAAAATTATTGTTTTTATTGTTGTTTGACATTCCTCAAATACTTTAGTTTTGTCTTGCAGATTGGTCTTAATTATATATTCCACTGATATCATTAACTCTATAAAAAGTAAACATTTGGTTATATTTTGCTTCTTAATATGTGAACGTCCAGAGTACCTTAGCAATTATATTCAAAGTAAGGCATCTTAATTATTATTAACGAAGAAGAGGGTAGTAAAAATTGCTGCGGTAGTTTTTAGTGAACTCTTCCAAATGCACGTGGTAAAGTAATTAGATATTAAGAAAAGTGTTTGTATTTGGAAGGTTTATTATGTTTATGAAGTCTGCGAGAGCGCACGACGTACCCAGTTATACGAATGTTTTAATTATTTGAACATTCCATACTGTTTGATGGAAGTTTAAATTTACTTAATTAAATCCAGTTATTTAACACAAATTTAATCGTTATGGTTTTAATAGTCGCATTGTAATGAATTCATTGATTGTTGTACACTTATTTTATATACATAAAAATACTTAGCTCATAAAAAAAATATCAGAAATCGTATTTAATTTGTGTCAACTCTGAGAAGACATGTAATTACGTAATTAGTGAATAGAATGGTAGATGCGCTACTTCCCGGAGTTGAATGTTTGGATGATTGTAATGTTAATAAGTAAACGAAAGAGATACAATAATGTTTCTATTTGAAAAGCTGCACTGTTTTTCTTTTCCGGAGCCGTACGTTACCAAACTTTATAGCAATATTGCAAACTTCATTAATGTTCCTCTTCTTGTTTTAAGAAAGATTGAATATTTACAATTTACATAATAAATTAATAGCAATAAATAAATGGTTAATAATGATGCGAATTAACAAATTTGTACGAGTTTTATCAAAATAGCTTTATAATAGACAGAATGCAGTTTAAAATACTATTTTGTTTCCTAACTTTCAGAGGTACTATTTATTAATTAAATGATAATATTGTTATGATTATATTTCTATGTATTGACATGTATATATAGGCAGCGTGGTGAGAGTTGTTAGTGAATTGTACTGTAACAAACCCAATCAATAGTATTTATTAATGAACCCTAAGTGCAGTTATTCAAATTTTAACATTTCTCCACTTGTTACCACGTCCCTGCGAACTTCACACGCCATTAGCACAAATATAAAATAAATAGTTTTATCTATTAAAATAAAATATAATATATTATGTGAAATTATTGTAGATATATTTTTTTTTTCAAGTATCTACCGAGCATGATAAAATTTAAGGGAAAATCTAGCACGATATATTACATGATTTGAAATAGTTAAAACATAGATTCATTTTATATTATAAATTGTGACCACAGTTTTATATTTAGAGTGCCTCTTGCCTATATAAGACTTATATAAAGGCTGCGAATCACGGAATAAACATAGTTTACGTAGGGGATGATCGAATAGCGATAAAATTATTGCAGTTTTATGGTGAAAATTGTAAGTTGCGTTATGATATGTGACTTGCTTTGTTTGGTGGTTGGATTATTTTAAAAATTCCGCTCTAACCTAACACAACTAAAATAAAAACCGGTCACTATCATGGCAGGAAAGAGCCTCTCCGCAGTCGGCGCATTCCAAACCCAGACTTAATGATGTGGTGGACAAATGAGCCAGTGCAAAGTTATTTTCATGACCAATCCTAGGACAATAGACTTCTTATAGCCTTAGATAGTATTGTTAAGTTTCACCCACGAAATGGCATTGTGGGCCAAGAAAGCGTAAGCATACACTGGTTCATTGTGATTTTAATATTTTAAGTGGCATACCTAAATATAGAACTTATATTGCAATTTTCCTAAGTTCCTGTAGGTGTATTAATTATTGTATGTTGGTACAATTTGTTTATTAATTGTAATTTGTTTATTATAATTTATTTAGATTTTAATTTTCTCGACTACCATTTGTATTGGCATAATATACAATTCAGGTCACATACGGACGACAACACTGGACCGCCAACATACATGATGTCGATCTGATATATCCGTCGATGTAGTTTTATATTGAACACGGATGATGTATTCTTGATTGTGTGTTATGCTTTGATAAATTTTATTCAGCACAAGTTCAAATAATGTAGGTCCATTTTATTTATAGAGCTTAGTAATCATTGTTTACTTTTGGAAAAGCAGTGATTATTTCTTTTTAAGCTGTTTTATTTAACATTCATTGTTGACATTTTAGATTAGTAAAATCTGTTTTGCCTTAACATTATTAATAGTTCATAATGTTGTAACAGAGAGCAGTACAGTTTTGTTGAAAATTAGATGCAATATAACAGAAAGATCGAGGATCAAATTGGTGTAAAGTTTGTCAATTGTGCAACAGTTTAAAAAGACCCATAGCTGTTGATCATTGTAACTTTTGAAACAAATATAAGCATATCATAGCTGTAAAAATACAATTTTGACAAATAAAAGCTCTACAATCATTACAGAACCATACTTTCATTTACCAAGTAAAACAACCTTTACGATTTAAACAGGTATGTTGATATTTAAAAAAAAAGTTATTGTATTAAAATAGACAAAAATATGAAAATCTAATTATTTTCTAAACTCTTTTTCATTTTCCTTTGCAGATGTGTTTGGACATGTCATGTGGATCGCCCAGCATTCCGAGTCCAATTCCACCACGAAGCCCCACGGCCCTGCCCCTGTGGTCTCCATTGCTGGCTCTGCAAGCATGCCGCCTACGCAGGTATCTCAGTGATGATTGTATGACGTATCAAAGCCGTCATTTGCTCCATTCTGAAAGACGTCGATGTGGCGTCTGCCTCGCTTCTTTTCCGTCGTCCTGGCTCCTTGAACGCCACGCCGCTCTTCAACATGCCTCACAAACGTCCTGTGACGATAAGCCCTTCGTATGCGAACAGTGTGGACAGAGTTACAGATACAGGTCCGCATATGTCAAACATCGAGAGCAAAACCACCGCGCGCGACTACCTGCCGATAAGCTATTCACGTGCGATGTATGTGGCATGCAATTTCGATACCTCAAGTCATTCAAAAAGCATCGCCTAAATCACACATTGGAAAGACTACACACGAAAAATACAGACGCTATTGAAGGCATGGATCAAGTTTCCAGTACTAACGAAGTATTCGGTCAATGTGGAGAAATGGACCTATCTATAAAAAAGAGAAACAGGCCTGAAGTCGCAAGAACTCCGCCGATTGAAGTGATCGGTGACGGCGAACAAGACAGCACGGTCGATTCCAACGGACCCACCGACTCTATAGTGACCGTTGACGATTCTACTGACTGCAGAAATTCCAGTGCCGAAAGTGAAAACAAGAGAGACGTCGACACCCCTAAAAGTGAAAGACGACGCATTCCCGTCTCTTTTGCCAGCGTCAGTTCAATGGCGGACAGCTCCGAGGGCGAGTCCCGTAATGATAGCAACAAAATGGAAAGTTCCAGTGCACATTCTGGTATCCTAGGATTCTTGCAAAACGATGATAGGCAAAGAGAGCGGGAGAGGAGATTCGCCTGTCCGTTCTGCGGGAAGTGCGTGAGGTCTAAGGAAAATTTGAAATTACACGTACGAAAGCATACGGGGGAGCGGCCGTTCGTGTGTCTTTTTTGCGGAAGGGCCTTCGGTGGTAAAAGCGACTTGACGCGTCATTTACGCATCCACACCGGTGAGAGGCCCTATCACTGCGAAGCGTGCGGCAAGTGCTTCGCCAGAGCCGACTACCTCTCGAAGCATTTAACCACGCACGTACACAACGCCCGCTAACTACCCTCCGCGCCGTCCTGTTTTCAATCTTTGCATACCTCTATAGTTAATGACCGACTCGTATAATTATAAACAGCAAATTGGAATATTTTTTGTAAAAAGTTTTTTAAATTTTACTATATTATTATGGATATATTTAAACAGGTGACATTTTCTTTTATAAGGTGATCATATAGTTTATAATTTACGAAATTTATTCTATAGGAAATAGAGCATTCTGAGGTTTTTGTGTTACCTCTTAATATTTAAGCATTTTGTTTAAAAGCGTTATCACTGTTTTAGTAATGCATTTGTCCATGCTATCAATTGAGGCGTTACTTGAAAAAGAGTGATTTTAAATTATTTGGCGAAAGCATATAAGTAATTTATATAGGTATTTTATTTCTGTACTAGAAAAATAGTTACCCTGAATCTGCTAGGCTTTGTGTGCGATAATTTAATATTTGTAACGAAAAGTCCAGTTTAGATGTCTACATATAATGCTTAATAGTTTTATTTGCCATATTTTTGTATGCACGCGCAATGTAATAAGATTGCAGAACTCATTCCATTGTAAGGAACATAGGAAAATTGTAGTGGTGTCGATAGGTTAGTAGGAGAATGCAAAAAAGCTGTGATTCATACGATATAAGACCAGTCAACAAGATTTAGAACATCGAAAAATGTTTAATGTAACGTAATTTTAAATATTATTAATGTTTACATATAATTAAATAATAGATTTAAGAAATCTCTCTGTGCCAAAATATGTACCTCATAAAGTAAACATTGAAGTAGATAAATTAATTGTGTAGAATTGTTTGTACACATTTTGTTTTAGATTTTGTTGTTATGGATACCGTTACAAGTTGATATTTGTGTGCATAAAAACTCTTCGAACTGTTGACCGATCGTTTTGGTCAGACAGAAGCTTTTAGCTAGGATAAGTAAACAGTTTTCAGTAATTATCTACACGACAGAGTAAAGTTGTTTCGCACTAGAGTCACACTAGCCCGCTTATAAACTGTAGTATTTCTTAATACTGAATAAATACTGCCGTTATTGTGATATTTTTGTATGATTGTTAATTCTGAGACACATTAAATTTCACAACAAGCTTTTATCATTAATTAGTTTTACACACTGTCGTACATAATAAACTGGTACATAATGCAGTCCCTATACGTGATAAAAACTTTTTAAGTTCCTCATCACGGGACACGTAACTTCTTACGCTTTCATAAACGACGTCATACATAGACCTAGGTAATATTATGTTTGATATTTGAATGCCTCAGACTCTCAGACGCGCCGCTCTTCTCAACAAACAACACGTTGTGTCCCTCAGATAGCGCTGACAAAACTGAAACTTGAAATAATTCTATGCAAACAACAATGAACTCTTTTTTTATGTTACGAACTAGATTATGATGATTTATAGAAAATTTTTAGGCCTAACGTTTTCTATATTCCAAATTCTCACAATTTTATTTCTTTGATTGCTGATGCTTATGACCCAATCGATAGCAGCATACTATATGGATACTGTTTACTTTCATGTATGTTTTAACAATATAAGAGATTATATTATTATAATAAATTGGAATGTCTTAAAGCATAAGTACACAATAAAATGTCAATTAAAATACTATAAGATGATCAATTTTTAATAAGTAAGTTTATAGGCATTACGCGGGCTAGTGTTGTCGATTTGAATATACATATTATATTGAAATACGTTATTATAGATAAACGTAACTTTTTTCTACAAATAAAAAATCTTGACCGGTTTTTGTCATTAACATGTCAGAGTTGTCGTTTGATTTTTGAAGTATTTGCAACTTGGGAATAGATGTTTTTATCTATAAATTGTTTGTTTTGTATAGACATGAAGACATTATTTGAGTGAAACTTTTTGCTTTTTTCTTATCCCTTAGGTATTGTAAAAACGATAGAGAGAAACTAAACAGTAAATGAGCAGTAGCAGCTTCCTGATACCAGATCAACATAAAAAACTGCGTTTGACAACCCATCGCTGCAACGCTTGACCCACCTGGGGTTAAACGTGCCAACGATGGCAAAATTCCCCCTCCCATAAGGCAATGTAAGGGGATGCCTATGTATAGCAGTGGAGTTTTGAGTCTCTAATGAATGTATGCAGAATTATAAAAAACCGGCCAAGAGCGTGTTGGGCCACGCTCAGTGTAGGGTTCCGTAGTTTCCCGTCCGTCACAATAAGTGTTCCCACTTATGAGTTTAAAGGTGGGTATCCATTATGTTCGCGCTCCAGCAGCGCTCCGCGCTCCTGCAACTGCTCCCGGTAGTGGGTACGTGCGCGAACATGGAGCGTGCAACATTGCACGCTCCGCGACAGGCGATGCCAAGGAGAGACCAACCGAACAATTCGATAATACCCGACCCAATGTAATAAGTACCTACAGCGCCATCTCTCGGGGAATTGGGTTACTAATTAATACATAGACGTGCCAGAAGTTTTCGGTGGTAATTTTGGATAATTTTTTAATAATTCTTTTTTTGTTTGAAAAAAAGATACGTTCAGGATAATAAAATATGTAAACGAAGTTAAAAAAAAATGCCTGCTTAAACGATTATACTACAAACTTAGTCCAGAAATTATTTTGAATAACTTTTTGTCTTTTTTGTACAAAAACTGTTTCCATCCAGGTTCAAAATAATTTTCCTAGAAAGTCCTTATAAAGTTCTACCTTTCAGATTTTTTTCATATTTTCTAAACCTATGGTTCAAAAGTTAGAGGGGGGGGGGACACATTGTTTTTTACTTTTGGAGCTATTATTTCCGAAATTATTGACAATATCAAAAAATGATTTTGGTAAACCCCTATTCATTTTTAAATACCTTTCCAACAATATATCACAAGTAAGGTTTGAAATTAAAAAAAAAATCACTTCCCACTTTACATATAGGGGGGCTACCCTAATAAAACATTTTTTTCCAATTTTTATTTTACCACTTTGTCGGCGTGATTGATACACATATTGGTACCAAATTTCAGCTTTCTAGTGCTAACGGTCACAGAGATTAAGCGAGGACGGACAGACGGACAGACAGACATGGCGAAACTATAAGGGTTCCTAGTCGACTACGGAACCCTAAAAATGGCAAAGAAATATTTGTCATATATTATTGGTTAACTACTACATGACAGTTACAGCAGAAAACGTTCAGTGATCGGTAAACGAGCAAGATATATTGGTTATGTTACAGTTTAAAGATTTTTCTCGTTGGAACCTTTAAACGACACAATGCTAATATATTAGCATCAGTATGTACCGAAAACGAATAAACGGCCTAATAAATATTATGTTAATAATCACGGTACTTTTTTTTATTTTTGTAGCATATTTCCTAGTTGCAAATACAGTTTCGTGCCTCTTACCTTCTTTAAATATTTATACATTAACAATATAAGGACATAGTCAGTGCAACGAAATAGCCTAGGTTCTCTAGAAGTAACGGTGAAATGTATAGTCTTATTTATTTAGTTAGAACTGTTATCTTACCTAAACCGCTGCGCTGGTTAGTTAGAATTTAATATTACGTTTTCTTTATGTTCGTTGTTATTATCAGCTTCATGAGAATTTAAATTGTAATAAAATTAAATAAAAATATAACGCATATATGTAATAGGAACATTGCCAGAGGGATATATTATAAGGAATATATTTAGGTAGTCGAAAACTTAGTATAAACGAGAAGCAATACTCTGAATTTTTATTTTTATTTTGAATACCTAAATACTCGAAATGCAATATGGCGTGAGTACTGAAATCAGCTTGAATTCGTGTACGTAACGACATTAAATTCGACAAAAATAGATCATGATGTAAAATACGATGCGTGGAAACTATAATTAGTTTCAATTATGTAATTATAATTTTTTTACATCAATCCATCGAAAAGAAAAAGAACAATGTAAGGTTAACATTAAAAATGTGTATATGTAGATATTTTGCCATTACGTCAAATTTATGAAAACTAATTATTCTTAAATTGATGTTGACTGTTTTTTATAATTATATCAGCGGTAGTTACTTGATGTTGTGGTGTAAATTAGTGTCTTATAGATTTAAGCTCATAAACCACTCAAAGAAAGTACCTATAGTTTTTCAATATTTTAAGTAGTAGAGGTAAGCATTCCTCCATAGCCAATTTATAATAATTTACTTTTATTTTATTATTGATATTTTAAGCGGTGAAGTGGTGATTGGTACCTTTGAGTGGTTCATTATTTTGAATTTTTGTAGTGTATTATAATATTGGTGTGGTCTTTATATTTATATATATAATATGTTCGTATAACATAACATACATGTTAACTGTAATTTATATTATTTTTCAAATCAAGATTCTAAAATGTCGAGCACAGCAAACATTCTGTACATAGGCGTGTGCTAACCAGATCAAATGTGATAAATTAGGGTTTAAGTGATTGGACTACAATCAGCGACTGTTTAACTGAATGGTTAACATTGAAAACGGGGCAGATATTTTATACAAGTTTCTTAACAAAAAATATCGTTTACCGTTGACTGTGAGCTTATGGGCATTATTTTCAGTATACTAATTTTATATCACATCTGTTAGGACGGGAAAATACTGGCAGGAGTAAGCGATACCACCACGAGACAATCATAATAGCTCCTCTACACGATCGGCCAATCGCGATGGCCCACTATGATGGGCCAGCGTGTGGAGGGAGTAGTGTTGTCGGATGGCTTATGGCGCGTGATGGTCCTGGGATAGCGTCGGTGTCGGTTTGTCGGCCGCACATCAAAGGTACTGGGCCAGCTATGGCGGTACGCTACACGTGGACTTCGTGCTTTGTTTGTTAATTTACGAATTTCCTTAAAAATAACGAATACGTGACCTCATAATGAATTAATAAATTTTCTAGAACCATATCGGGGAGAAAGCGTGAGTAGATAAAAATGTGTGCGATGTATAGATAACATCCACCATCTTCTTCTACGCCATTTCTT